ATTTAAAATGAGATGTTTATCCTGTATTTCATTGTGTTTATCTGCAGTTAGTTATATGAATTCAGATATGGGATGAAATCGGATAGGGATGAACGGGTTTAAGAGTTTTTAAGAGTTTAAGAGTTTAAGAGTTTTAAGAGTTTTTAAGAGTTTTAGCCAAATGCTTTATAATATAGTATAGATATATATACACACACAATATTATACATACATATAAAGATTCGTCGCCATAAATCACGCATTGAAAAACGTTATAGCCTTGTCGGGTCTCTTAAGACTTGAGGCTCGATTTCAATGTCACTCCACACCTCGTCTCACGCCATTTAAAACCTTGTGTAGAACCAACCTCTAAATATAAACAAATAATTAAAAAACATGATCTAAACAAGATGAGGACTAAGATAATTAGTCCTAACCATCAAATGAAACCGTGTCACGTGACCGGTGAAACCAAAGTGCAACAATCATGGTTTCGATCAGGAATTTGGCACGTGACCTGCTTCCACGAGGAAGACGATGGCACAAAGGACCCAGTCTCACATCTGTCACAAAATCAGAAGAAGAAGAAGAAGAAGCCACACACACACACACACGAAAACACCTCCAACTGTGTGAATCGAAACTTTAGCGAAGATCACGAAAAGATCGAAGAAGATGGTGAATAAACGAATTCCTGATTGGCTCAACAATTCCATGTGGTCTTCTTCCCCCACTAACTCTTCTCCACCGCCTAAATCTCAATCGTCGCCGCCTCAATCTCCGTCGCACGACGATCGCATCGCTAGTCACCCTTCCAAACCTCCCTCCGTTACTTCTTCGGATTCTTCTGTGAACGAACGGCGTGAATCGTTGCCGTCGCCTAGCTCAATGAGACCCGAATCCCCTTCTAAACCCGGTCCGGCTCCGAGGACGGAAGTTAGGGATCCGTTGGCTAGTAGCGGCAGTAGTGATAATGACGGTAGTTCTCCTGTTGAAGACGTTTCTCGACAGGCCCAGCTATTACAAGAGGTTAGAAATTGTTTACGAACAAAATCAGAGTAATTTTCTGCTTTTAACATCTGGAAAACATAACTCGTATATGTTTATTTGAGGCAAATACGATCATCTTGGGTTAAAGTTTGTTTTATTCTTGTTGAAATTTAATCGTGTGGATATTGTAATTTAAACGTCATAGTATTGAAATTGAGAACAAACAAGAGAATCAGTAGTGATAACTAAACCTAAACCTAAACCTAAACCATTTGTTGCTTGAGGTGTTAATTCAATTTATCTGCTTACTTCTGTGTAATGTAGCTTTCAAGGAAGATTATAAATATGGGAGAGCTGCAAAGACTTGCTTCACAGGGTATTCCGGATGGTGCTGGTCTTCGTTCTACTGTGTGGAAGGTTTGAGATGATATATGTTTTTGCTATGCCTATGAAATGATTGTCATTTTAGTGCAGAGATCTGTTAAAGACGATATTGTAAAAGGAGAATGGTGGATCTCATGAAAATGATATATGAGGCCATTCCATGTAGCTTCTTATATCTCTATCACCAATGTGTTGGGGATAACATGACTTTTTATTCTTTATGTTAGGGCATGACACAATTTTTTTCTTTACACTTAATATGGAATGGGAGGATTAATTTTTAGCCTGTTCATATTTTCAGCTGTTGTTAGCATATCTTCCCGTTGATAAGGGCCTTTGGTCATCAGAATTGGCTAGGAAGAGGTCTCAGTACAAGCTCTTTAAAGAGGATCTTTTGAAGAATCCAGTAAGTTTTAGTTAAATAGTACTGCTTGTAGAACTTCTAGTTCTAGGCCATAGATGAAACACCTAATGATTGCTTGATGTATTACGTGAAGACAAGCTGAGTTGAGCAATTGATGGGTAGTTGTCTGCTTACTATTTCATGTATTAATGATTTCTTCACATGTGAAGTTGTGACATCACTCATTTGCAACAACCTTAGAGATCCATTTCATATGGTTTCATCCTTAGTTCTTACATGCATGATGAGAAAATTATAAAGAAGATGCAAATACAAACAACTTTAAATATGATTATGGTTACTGTTCTATATTCCCCATAGGAATCAAACCTACAACAGCTAGGTCCTAAGGTATGCACTCATACCACTAGCGCTAAACCCCCTTTTTTACAGGCTCTTATTAATACTTTAGCTGATTGTGAGCACCTCTATATGTTGTTTGGGGTTGGGGTTGGGGTTGTTCAGTCATCATGTTATAACTAAGTAACTAACCTAATGATTAGAACAATGAACTCATTTGGGTGGTTGAATAACTTATCAGTGGGTAAGAATGGTATCCTATTCAAAATTTCTGTCTCTTGCATTCTCACATTACGTTTTTCTTTTTCTGTTCACCACATAAAAATAAAATCTTTTGTGTATCTATAATACATGTTCCAATTCGACGAGAGCAACAAATGAATACAAAACCAAATAAAGGGACTAGTCATAAAAGTTATATTTCCTTTTCAAATTTGTATTTATTTGCTCCGAATCTGGGATTCTGAATGTATCTGTGGCTAGTCAGTCAGAAGTCACGAGGGAATTGGAAGAGTCTACATCTTCTCAAAATGGTGAACGGACAAGGGATGGCGAAGGTTTGCTCTCAAGGTCAGAGATACCTGAGGGGGAGCATCCTCTGAGTCTAGGGAAAACAAGCATTTGGAATCAATTCTTTCAGGTATAATCTTCCACAACATATGTTTGATGGAATGATTTTTGTTTTCAATTGTTAGTGTAAGTCCTCTCTAAATCTTGTATATCAATGATGGCATCTTTCTAAAATTAAAAGAACTTGATTTATGCTGTTCTGATATAAGGTTCATTCTTTGATAGTATGAGAATGATAAAAAGGACCTAAATGCTTTTGCATACTGATGATATGTGAATCTTCTGTCTGCTATGATGTAATATGTATGGAAAACTTCTTCAGTCAGTAGACATTGTATGACTTCAGTCAAAAATAGGCATTTATGCCAACAATTTTTTGTCTAGAAACCATTTGTATTCTCCAAAACTTTGAGCATTCAGCTTATGATCTTGTTCGTATTCTATAAGTGAATATTAAGGTGCAAAGTGAAATCTCTATGACGGGAATGATGAGTTTTAGGAAAGGATAGGTTGGTAGATGGAGGACATCTTCGATTATGGAAAATTGTGTGGTATATATGTTTCATATGCTCTAGAATATGTTGATCTTCTTGTGCCACATTATAATGTTCAATTTATTTTGACGATATATCTCACATTGGTTGTGATTAAGATGAGAGTCCCTTTGTAAGTTTTTGGTAGTAGACTACTAAACCATGGTTTTAGGTGATTTGGAAGTTTGGTGCTATTTTCTGCTTTGGGCTTGAGTGTTACAAATGGTAGTAAACCAATTGTCCCTGAAGTTTTAGTGTATTCGACTTTTATATTCTTGTGGATAACAATTCTAGGATGGTTTGGGTTCCAGTGTAAGCGAAACGAGGCATCAAGAATTTTAGTGGGGGAATTTGTGACAATCACACATCTTTTGTGAGCATGATATGTAAGTCCCCTTAGAGCATCTCCAACAGGTTCTCCAAAACTTCTCCAACATGGAGAACCAAAGTTCAAAATCTCTAAAAAGAATTGCATTGAACTCCAACAGATTCTCCATCATCATTAATTATATTATTAAAATATGTCATACATTTAATTAAATATTATTTATCTCTCATAAACATTTCATTTTTAGGGTAATAAAAAACCATTTCTCTCTTAGGGTAATCATTTTTGGAGAGATCTCCAAATTTGGAGAAATTTACGCCATCTCTCCTACTTTCTCGATTTTGGAGAATCCGCTGGAGCAAAAAATTGCCCAAAATCCCCATTTTCTCCATTTTGGAGACTCTGTTGGAGATGCTCTTACAAATCTTCGATGGCGAACTACTAAAAGCTTCCTGCCATAGATTTGCGATTTGGGGATCATTGTGCCAATCTACTTTTTTGTGCTTGGGTGCTACACTTATGCTCTTCTTGTGGCATCCTCAATCTCATTTGTGAAAGAAGTTGTAAGTTTCTAATTAGACATGCATCAATCATCTCCTTTCTTTTCGGATGTGATCAAGAAAGAAGTTACCATACATTAGGTCTTCAATCCTAAAATCTTTTATTTGTAAATGCACAAGTTGCATTCAACTTGGGGTTGATTGAGTTGCCTTTTTCTCTTCCTCTTGCTAGCGATAACTAGAGCTACAGTTTTGATTCAAAAATGATATTATAGAGTTGTTATGAGAATATTTTCCAAGCTTAAAATTAAACCCTTTTACTTGGATGACATCACATGAAGTTTGAATTTTGCTTAATATTATGCTCCTTTTTTTTGTTAAAGAGAATTCTTTAACTAGTACTCCATAGTAGAAAGAATATGAAGATCCATGCTTGAATGCCTATCATCTTGTGAGAACCTTAGACTAGTAGACATTTGTTTGATGTGGGTTAAAAAGGATTTTAGCTGGCCTCAATCTTAACACTTCCCCTATTGGAATTTGGTTTCCCTAGTTTTTAATCCAATTCTTATATCCACAAGCATGCATTATGATTTGCCTAATGCTTATTACTTTGGCTAATTGTAGGACACTGAGATAATTGAACAGATAGACCGTGATGTGAAGCGCACTCATCCAGACATGCATTTTTTCTCTGGTGACTCTGCTTCTGCAAAAGCTAACCAGGTAACTGACCAAAGCTTTTTACACTAGTTGGGGCCTTGCTTACTGTTGTGTCTACCATCTTCAGCAGTGTGTACTTTCCCTCTTTGATCTTTAAACATGTGAAATGATGGAATCCTGAGTTAGATAGTCTCGTACTTTCAGGATGCTTTAAGAAATATACTGATTGTATATGCAAAGCTGAACCCGGGTATAAGATATGTGCAAGGGATGAATGAAATTTTGGCTCCCTTGTTCTATGTGTTCAAGAACGACCCTAACGAGGACTTTGTGGTAAGTGAATATGTAATTTGCCATTGTCAAATTCAAATTTCTTATGCTTATATGCAAGGTTATTTGTTACTGTAATTATTAAGGAGAAAATGCTCTCTTTTGATGGCATTTGACAAATTAAGCAACCAGAAGGCGTGTTCCAATATGTCAAGATGAATTTTTTTGGGACAAACTTTGAAGAAAACTTAGTTCTGTATGAGACTGAATGCCTTTAGCAAAGAAACAGTAGTTTAAGTAGTTTGACCCCCTATAAACTGAAGTCCAGTCCATGTAAGATTAGAAATGGAAAAAGGAAGCAAAAAGATACCATGACAAAGACCAAGTATGAAGACATCAAGAGCAGGCAACCCAGGGTTGGGTGATCGTGTAGCTTTTCTGTTTTCAACTTTAAGGCTTATTTATGCAAACATTAGAGCATCTCCAATGCAAGGTTCTTATAAGCAAAAAGTGTAACTTCTTACAAGAACCAACATTGTAGAGAGTTCTTATAAGAACCTCACTTTTTTTGTTCTTGTACAAGAACCTTGGTTCTTTCCTTGAAGTTGGTGTGAAGTGACAATTTGTAAGTTTTCTATATATTTTCTTAACCTTTATATCTAATATAATAATTTATACGTATATATTTAGTTAACTTATATTGTACATGGGACCCACAAAATCGGTTCTTATAAGACCTACCATTGTGGAGTTTTATGTAGGTTATTAATTTGTTGAGTTGGAAATGACTTGGCAAGAAAAAGTACAAAAAGTGGGTTCTTATAAAAACCTCCATTGGAGATGCTCTTAGCAAGCTTGTCTTTGAGATTGCTGAACTCACATGTAACCATGTCTATGGAAATTAGAAACTTATAATCGAGGATCTCCATTTTAATTTCTTCTTGGAGGATGATCCCATGATAAATGATGTCTTTCAAGTATGATGATGAGTGCTTAAAAAATACTCCCTCGGTCCCAAAATAAATGTCCACAATGAAAAAAGGCACACACTTTTAGAAATATGTTACTATTACACTTCATAAATTACTAAATAACAATTTTACCCTTAATAATAGAGGGAGTAATGAATTATCTCCATCTCATTGTCAAAGGTAGAATTGGAAAGTAGGCACTTACTTTTGAAAGTGCACACTTATTTTGGGACAACTAATATATAAATGTGGACACTTATTTTAAGATGGAGTAAGTACAAGCCACCATCACATCTCTTCTTTCCATTTGGCTCTCATCTTTTTACGTAATTCTAGTTTTCATGGCATCCACAGTGACATTTTATTGTGGCATCTTCAGATTGCATGCATCTTTAACTCATTTTGTTGTTTAGTTTGTATCTATTTTCTTATATTATTCTCATTTCGACTTCCATATGGTCGTGCAGTATCATGGTTCCTAGCTTTTAGCTTCGATATTTTTATTTCTACATATATTACTTGTGCAGGTGAATGCTGAAGCAGACACATTCTTCTGTTTTGTCGAGTTATTAAGTGGTTTTCGAGATAATTTCTGTAAGCAACTTGATAACAGTGTCGTTGGCATCCGTTCAACGATTTCAAAGATGTCACAACTCTTAAAAGAACATGATGAAGAGCTATGGCGACATCTTGAGCTCACAACAAAAGTAAGAAAATCTTATACGTCTTGGCCATTTAATGCTCCGTGAACCATCTTAAAATTACTTTTCCATTAGAAGTAACTGGCAAATTAGTATCTTGTTGACAATTTAAGCAAATGAAGGCCGTTTCAAATACAACCCACTGAAATCCTACAAACTGTACAAACCAATTTCAACCGTCCGTGTAGATTATCAAATCAATGTCAACGATGTGGATAAAGTCGGTTCTGAAATTTACTATCAACCTTATCTGCAACTGATTTGGTAACCGCCTAAAAATTTCAAAATACACAATCATGGGCTGAGATTGGTCTATATGGTGTGTAAAAGCATCTACAACAACTATGCTAAAATAGAGTAGACTTTGGAGTTCTTTTTGCTCCAACAACTATGCTGAAGTGTATGCTAAAATAAAGAAAAAAGGAGATAGAAGATAGAAATCTCTAAAATTAACATCGAGGAGAGAGAGATGTTATTTTAGTTGTTTACACCAATGATATTAAATGTGTCATAATTTTTTTAAAGTGTATTATTTGGGATGATGTATTTATAGTATTTTTTAATAATATAATTAATGTTGAAATTGCTAAAATAGAGTAACTGTTGGAATTGGATGTAAACTTTTTAGAGATTTTAATTTTAGATACTCTATTTTAGAAAAGTTATAGCATAGTTGTTGGAGATGCTCTAACATTTACGTGGTTTGTATTTGAAATCTCTTTTAAGTAAATGTTAGTCAGGAATCATGACCAATCTATATCCATGCTTGATTTTGTGCACTTATGATGACAGGTGAATCCACAGTTCTACGCTTTTAGATGGATCACACTCCTCTTGACCCAAGAATTCAATTTTGCAGACATTCTTCATATTTGGGATACTCTATTAAGCGACCAAGAAGGTCCTCAGGTGAGTCGATGCTCTCATTCTTGCATTGTGTTTGTTTTATCAAGTTGTATGAGGTAACTAGGGGTGTGTTAATGTTCTGCATCTCAAAAGATATCAATTAAGAGATGAAAATAAGTCGGCAAGAATGTCAGTGACTGGAACTGTTTGATCATTTGATCTTTCAACATTTCGGACCTTAGGAGCAAGTTCAAATGAGAACCGTAAATATTTTGAGAACTTGAGAACCAATTATTCTTGTTTAATTCATGATGAATGCCGTGATACACACACACACATACACAGAGAGAGAGAGAGAGAGAGTGAGAGATAGGAGGGGGTTTCATTTAGGAACCTTTCAAAATCTTAGGAACCCAAGAACCACCCTTTTTGTGAGTATTCATGATGAATGTCGTGACAAATATACATGATGAATAATACTCACAAAATAGGTGGTCCTTGGGTTCCTAAAAGTATTTAAGGTTTTCTAAATGAACCTGTCCCCATATATATAGGTCCAGGTTCAGGGAAAACTGCAAAAAGAATTGAAAATTTGTGGAACGTCCTGATAACTGTTCATTTGGGTGGTATGCACCTGGTGCATAACATATACACGTGCATAAAAACCAAAAAACAGCTTCAATTACTTGTATGCACTTGTGTATATTGTCCGGAAGAATGGTTACTATGGTGTTTCTCAGTTTTTCATTTTTTGGGGGTTTTTCCCATGAACCTCCCTCTCTCTCTCTCTCTCTCTCTCTTATATATATATATATATATATATGTATAAAGAGAAAAGGAGTTTCAAATGCAAACCATATAACTGTTACAAACCAAATATAGTCCCTTAATTTTGTTTATTTTGAAATCTAAAGGTGGCTGTTAAATAAGTTAAAGATGAGGTTGAGAGTAAATTTAGGAACTGATTGAATCTACATTGTCGATCATCTACACGGATGGTTGAGATTGGTTTGTAACAATTACATGGTTTGCATCTATACACGAATATAATGTATTTTCATCATGAATATATATATATATATATATATATATATTGAATCGGGGATTATGTCTCAACAATATATATATATATATATATATATATATATATATATATATATATGGAGAAAGAGAGAGAGTGTGTGTGTGTGTAAGTCAGGTTCATATGAGAACAACAACCAAATAAAAGAATAAAAAAACGGTCGAATCACATGTGATTTTACACTAAAATCACATGTGATACATCGCCCGCACACCTTTACATTGACCATTAGTGTAAAATTACATGTGATTTAACCGTTTTCATGTTCTTTCATTTAGCAAGTGTTCTCGTTTGAACCTCTCCCCCTCTCTCTACATATATATATATATATATATATATATATATATATATATTATATAGGGTCAAGTTCTAGGGAAAACAAAAAATGGAAAACTGAGGAACACCCTTGTAACTGTTTATCTGGATGGTATGCACATGTGCATAACATGCACACATGCATAAAAACCAAGAAACAACTTTAATTACTTGTATGCACTTGTGCATACTGTCCACATGAATGGTTACAGGATATTCCTCAGTTTTTCATTTTTTTAGGAGGTTTTCCCCTGGACCTCCCTCTCTCTCTATATATATGTGTGTGTGTGTATTCATGATGAAAATACATTATATTCGTGATAAATAATCTTCAAAATTTATTCATAATAATTGTGAAGCTGCATATGATATGTGACTTGTGGAATTTGAAAATACGTTGAAATTGCAGGAGACCTTGCTTAGGATATGTTGTGCGATGCTGATTCTCGTTAGGAGACGTTTGCTTGCTGGTGATTTCACAGCTAACCTTAAGTTACTACAAAGCTATCCATCGACAAATATCAGTCATTTGCTATATGTTGCCAACAAGCTACGTTCTCATTCAACTGCTTAACTTCTTATGTGTTAGTCTTTTGTATCGTCCAAATTAGTTAAATTTTTGCATAATTTGACGTCGTGATGTAAATCAGTGAGTCGGCAGGGGCATTTACGTACTTTACTACTAGATCGATATGCTTATTTAAGTTGGACAAGAGGAACTGTGAATTTGTATGTGGACAGACAAAATGTGTATGATTTTTATAGTTCCTTCCTACTTGTGGCCATCTCTATAAAAAGCTCTTGTGTTTTGGTTTTGCATGTAGATATATATGTTATTTGGTAATGGGGTTGGAGTTGTAATCTATACTATATTATAAAACATTTGGCGAAAACTCTAAAAAACCATTTTTTATGTATGAAATAATGTTTATTGATGCATATTACTTAAATTCAAGATTACAAGTAGATTATGTATATGTACAACTTATTAAAGCTTTATGTTTGAATTCGTGTAACTAAGTGCAGATAAACATAATCAAATAGAGGATAAACATCTCATTTTAAATATAAAAAATCTAAAATGTAATTAGATAATCAATGAATTCTAACAGAATACTTAATTATCATATTAAAAAAAAAAAAAATTTAAAACCAAAAACAAATTAGTTCGTTATTAAACTTCAATTAAATTATAATTAAAAATTGAATTAAAGAAATTACACAAAAACAAGAACTTTTAAATAGTTAATTTGATAATAATATCGATTATTTTTTTAAAATTTTTATAATATCTTCAAATTTATATTTATTTAAGAATAAAAACATTTTCTTTTTCTCAAAACCACATAAAATCGTATTAGAACATCGATAGACCCAAAATATAAAACAAAATATTAAAATCAAGATGTATCTCGCTGCATTGCGCGAGTACCTTTCTAGTATAATATAATATATAATAAATTTACGTAATATAATTTCTTTGGAAGAGTGTCTTAGGTTAGGCCTGGACTGATCCTGGTAAATTTTGACCGTAAGAAATCAGTCATGATAAACTCAGTGGTAACAATTGCTGTGTACGTCTGAAATCGAATCATGATGCGATATTTCATCACATCCTCTAGATTCTCTACCCCTACGCTACGACCCTTGTGGTTTACGTAAAATAATGTTGGTTATGGAAAATCGTACACGTTCCACATTAGGTGCTTTTACACTATACTCTAACCAAGAAGTAGAGAACTAGATGGGAGAACATTACGCATTACGGCCACCATCAGTTTCAAACGTAGGCCGATCCTGACATTTTATAGGTCTGAGATGTATGTAAAAACAGGGACTTCAATAAGTATGAAAACAGTAAGTGATTTTTATTATCAAATAATAATAATTTCTAAATTGATATTATCTTAACATATATTTTCAATACCCAACATCCCAAGACAATTAACAATTAGCCATCAAATAATCAATGGTTAACAATTAAGCCATCAATTAATATATAAAGTAACCAAAGGGACTTCGGCCTAGTGGTATCGTAGTCCTTGGCTTTCTAGGAGGTCAAGGGTTCAAACTTCACCAACGGTGAGGAGGGTGTATAAGTTTATTTGTTGCATTTGCCGTATATAAATATTATATATTTCAAAAAAAAAATTAATATACGAAGTATCCTAAGAATAGGAGTTAAGGTGAGAAGCGTAAAATCCCAACCTATAAATTGTGCTTCTTACAGTACTAAGGGGCCGTTTACTAAACACTTATCTGATAAGTGCTTATCGATGAAATTTAACACTATTATTAACTTACTGGGTAAGATTTTGGTCCACCAAAACGACATTGTATGCAACAATTTACCCGGTAAGCGTTTACCATGGTAAGAGTCGTTGATCTCACTTACCGGGTAAGACTTTTGGTCTTTGTCTTGCTCTTACCGGATAAGATTATTGGTCCTTACCATATCCAACGGGATGAGGTAGTGTGACTTGGTAAACACTTACTCAGGTAAGCATTTGGTAAACAGTCCCTAAATGTATTTATAGAAAATAAATTTTGTAATATGAAAAAAAAAATCAATGTTTATGGGGTCACTTGACCCCCTTCTCAAAGCCTTACTTGAGTCCATCGTTCAAATAAGAATACTTTTATTTTATAAAAATATGAGAACATTTTTTTTACTGTAGTTAATCATATGTGATATTAAATTAAATACGTACTAGACTTTTTATGATATCTGGTGTATTATCACATATGATAAATGTGTTTTCATGTTTTCATAAAATGAAAATATTTTTGTTTGAACCTCCATCTTTATCATTAATTGTTCAAATTATAATACTCATTCCGCCTCAAAATAAATGTCCACAATGAAAATCACACAATTTTGAGAATGTGTAACTATTACCATTTTTAATTAATCAAAAGACAAATTTACCCTCAAAGAAAATTCTTCATCTTATAATTAAGAGTAGAATGAGAAAGTAAATATTTACTTTTAAAAATGAACACTTATTTTTAGATAATATAAAATAAAAATATATTTTCGGACAGACGAAGTATTATGTTATTTTTGTATGAATTCATGTATAGTCTGATCGACTCGTAAGCATTGTTCTAAAACCATGGCGAATGCACACCGGAGCGAATTGTTTTCAATCCGTTATTGTGTTCTGACTTTTAGTTCTTCTTTAAGTTGTTACGAGATCTTGACGTAACATCTTTCGGAAGCGATATACAGACCACATGAAAAATTATGATAAATCAAAAACAGGTTTTTTTCAGTTCGAAAAAAAAAATTCAATTCCACACTGAAAGGTGGATGCTACATATGTTGGTTTGTTTAACTTGGGTTGTTTACTTGTGGCTTAATTAGGCTTATTGGTCTATCTGGCTTATTCGCACAGCTTATTTGGGTTGTTTACTTACGGATTATTCGCACAGAACATGACTTAATCGCACAGATAGAAATGGGGTGTCCCCATTCAGCCACAAAAATGACACTCTACCCCTTATTTAAAGCACCGCCTCCTTCCGATATGAGACACCTCATCTTCGACCTCTTTATGAATTTTTGTTTTGATGTCAAAATAATTAGTATTGTGGGGTAAATCGATCATTTATGTTATTCAGACCGTTGGTTCAGATAATAAAAAAAAAAGTAAACAACACTCATTTATCCAGACAGACAAATTTATCCTATCAGGACTTGATAAAAAATTTGGTAAACAGCCCCTTTGTAAACTTCACTTTTCATCTCTAACATTCGTCAATGTCGATGGATATCATCCTTAAATTTTAAAAACTCGGGTTTGGTCTCCCGTGTTTGTCATTTCATAACGGTTTTAAATCCTCCTCCCAACGCATGTCGACTTTTTTTGTTAACTGTAACTAAATGAGGGGTATGTTAGTAATTTTAAATGTTCTTCTAATTTTCTATTAAAATTTAAAGAGCAAATCATATATCATGGAAACCAGATATAAGATTACTTCTTGATTAAAATACCCCTCATCTAATTAGACCTAACGGAAAATTTTAATGAACGTTACAAAGAGGACCAAAACCGTTGTAAGATGATAAACATAAGGGACCAAATCCAAGTTTTTGAAGTTATTGAAATTGACAAACATTAAGGACCAAAAATAAGTTTACTCTATAAAAAATACAAACATAAAACGGCGATTGTTAACTAAGGGGCCGTTTACCAAATGCTTACTCGGGTAAGTGAACATCAAGTCACATTATCTTATCGAATGAATATGATATGAACCAAAAATCTTACCCAATAAGAACGAGACAAGTACCAACAGTCTTATCCGGTAAACGATGGCAACGACTCTTACTATGGTAAGCGCTTACCGGGTAAATTATTGTATACGATATCATTTTGGTGGATTAAAATTTTACCCGATAAGTAAATTATAGTGTTAAATTTTACCAATAAGCGCTTACTGGGTAAATGTTTGGTAAACGGCCCATAAGTTCAAGAACCAAACCGAAGCAAACATAACCACTTCCAGTGGTTTGGTTCTTCCGTTTTGTCGGTGTTTTCCAAACCCCTAAACCCGATACAAATAAAAATAATGTTGTATGTATTTTGGACAAAAATAGTATCAAACTACTGTATAAATTGTATCATGTAATCTTGCTGCTACATTGAAATGATCCTTATAATGTGTATAAAACAACAAGAACTATATTTTCCAACAGATGTTGCTCCTCTGCTTTCACTAATTCTTTATGTAAGCTCTGTAATCATGTTTTCCTGCTGAACCTGATGCCATATAAAAACACTGTTTTTTCCTTTTTCATACATCTATACATACATACTATAATTTATATATATATATATATATATATATATATATATATATATATATATATATATATATGCATAATAATTTAGAAACCCAATAAATCGTACGAACGTACAAACAAGTTTTAACAATTCCGTGTGTTATTTCACATATGAAACAACAGATGTGGAAATACAGTGTTGTTTCTTTATGTGAAACGTTCATGATTGTAACAGTCCTGAACGTTTCACATGCGATACTGCACCGTATAAAAACAACATTTTCAAAAACGTTGGGTCATATATGAAAAAACACATGGAAACTGTTTTGTAAGTTTATACGTATTAGAGTTATATATTATTTACAGATGGATAAAATACAATAAAAGATAATTTAAAAAAATTGGTCAAACGGTTCAAATAGCGCTTAAAACCTAAAATTGATTAGGAATGCAGGAACCGTCAACGGTACAACACGTGATATATTTATCAGGAATATCGATGTGTTATTTATCATGAATGTTGTAACATATTATCAAGAATGTGCTATTCATAATGAATAAGACAGTCCATATTCATCGTGAATGTTTTGTTCACGATGAATCCATCATGAAGAAGGGCAAGTGGCCTTCTTGTTATCCTGGGTTCCTAATCAATTTTGGTCTAGTAACGAACTTTCCTATATATATATATATATATATATATATATATATATATATATATATATATATATATATATATATATATATATACACACATACATATTAGGATCAGGTTCAAGGAAAAACCGTAAAAAAAGAAAAAATTGAGGAACTCCCGGATAACCATTCATCTAGAGAGCATGTACATGTGCATACAAGTAATCTGTAAGCAATTTGTCCGGTATGCACATGTGCATAACATGCAAACATGCATAAAAACCAAAAAACAAATTCAATTACTTGTATACACATGTACATACCATCTAGATGGATGGTGGTTACCAGGTTTGTTCCTCAGTTTTTTATTTTTTTGCGAGTTTTCCGCTGAACCCCTCTCCATATATATATAGGGGAGCGATCAAATGCAAACCACTCAATTTGTACAAACCGTGCAAACCTCATTCAACCAATCATAATTTTTCATTATGTTCATTTTTTTGTAATTATGARAGGTTGATTAAYCATTTTTATTGTGGAGGGTGTTAATCATAGATATTATCATCTTCATTATTTTAATTTTTAGAGAAATACATGAAACAGTTTCATTAATTTTAGAGAAATACATGAAACAGTTTCATTAAGTATTATATGAAACAATTTCACAACCATATATGAAACAACTTGATCAAAAAAAGTATTATATGAAACAATTTCATAAGATTAAACAATTTCATGAAAATTTTTCATAAGATTAAACAATGAAATCGACGGATGAAGGTGGTTTGCACGATTTACACAAATGAGGGCGGTTTTTATTTGATCACTCCTCTCTCTCTCTCTCTCTCTCTCTCTATATATATATATATATATATATATATATATATATATATATACACACATATATATAATATAACACAAGATTTAAAAGAAACATACCTTGGATGCTTTAGTAGATGTTAACCTAAAACCATCTCCATGGTACCTTGGCATCATCATTTTGCTTGCAAGAGATATTAGAATCATCATTTTAACCATATCTTAATCAACTACCCTATTCATCACACCATTGGAGGTCACATTGGTCATTTCCCTCTCCAATTGATCCTCTAGCACCTCCATCATATTATCAGGTGGGCATCTATCACCAGGATCCGTCGCCGAATCCCGACAGAAACACTCGGGCCAAGAATTCGTATAAAAAGACTCCGGCGGCACCCGCTTACGAGGCCCACCAAAGTTCGTTTTCATCATCACACGCCTAACGGCCGCTTCGAAACCAGCAAGGTGTCCCTCTTCACGTTGAATGAAGATCGGAGCCAGACCTTTGCGGTCGGGCCGAATTGTTGTCCGAAAACTGTAGTAGAGTCGGTGGCCGAGAAGGTTATTGGCAAAGTTGCTTGGACCATCATATGTTGGCACGAAAATGTCTGATAGAAGACAAACCATGTAATCAACAGCTGACCCCAGTAAGCCCTGTGTGTTATCGGTTAACTCGCTAGATGGGTCTACGGTGTTGTGGTTCTCAAGCAGTGGAAACATGGCTCGAAACGGCTTCATGAACCGCTCGCCACCAAATAATTCACCAGCTGCAAGGTATATTCGAGTGGAATTGTCGAATCCCATTGAGCGTAAGACGAGACCAACCTGCAAAAGAAGATGAAAAATGCAGAATATAACTAGAAGTGCATGAATACTTGTTACTCCCGTCACAAAATATGAAACATTTCTGTTCTAATTTGTCCCAAAATAAATGCCCACTTTCAAAAGAAATGTCTACCTTCCCATTCTGCCCCTTAATATGAGATGGAGGAATTCATTACTCCCTCTATTTTATTAAGGGTAAAATTGTCATTTAGTTAATTAAAACGTGTAATAATTAAACAAGTGTTATGGTGTAGTGGTTGAGGCCCAAGGGGATGTCGTGGGATATCTCATATGCATCGGGCTCGATTCCAAGCGTCCAGAACAATTGTGGCCACTGAGTTTATAAAGGCTGATGTCTTACAGTCGGCTTTCCGGGATTAATCTAGGCCTAGCCTGGGATACCCTTCCAAAAAAGTACAATAATTACATATATCTGAAACTATATGTCTTTTTCATTGTAGACACTTATTCTGTTACGGGGAGATGCGTAGTTAGGTTATGTTGAAACTTTACCTATGATTTGTTCAATCTAGGAAACAGAGCAGGCTTCAAATAAAAACCATGTAATTCTTACAAACCAATATCAACCGTCCATCTAGTCTGATGAATATATGGTTTCATTTGATTGTTTCCTCATATAAAGCGTTGATCATAATTAATGAACTCAAGCAGACTTGTCTTCTACTCCAAAGAGTATAGTGACTGTTTCAATGAAGACCTCTGACAAAAAGTCCGCTTTATACGAACACACCACGTATCCGCGATTTTCCAAAATTGTTGAATCTCGGTATCCGTAAATCGCCCACCCGTATTTTGGAAAAAAAAAAACGAGGAAATTAGAGGTACCTCTTCGGGAGTAAGTGGACATTTTCCGATAGCCCTTCTTTCCCTATAAACAAGTTTCTTATCCGCAAAGTTTTCCTTTCGGTATTTCCTTAATATCTTTTGTTCTTGAGGAGAAAATATATCGAAACACCTGCAAGAAAAACCAACCAATTTAGCTCAAAAAACAACTTCCATTTATAAAACATACCAGAAAGAAAAAAGAACATCATTCAACGGTAAACTTGCCCGGCAAACGACAGCATATCCTTTTCAAATCGAAGATGTATTGACATGAAGTGACCTTGAGAGCGAAGTTTAGCAACTATAGACTGGCTTAATTGCATTATTTGTTGCTTAAATCGGAGAGCATGATAGTTGACTCGGCATCTTAATCGTTGGTATTCGGGATTATCGATCTCTTCAGCTAATCGATGAGAAAAGGGTGTGAGATAGATAGCACCGTGCTCATTCATTTTCTCCAAAGCAACGGTTGAATACCAACTGATAGGAGCATCTCTAGGCGGCCGAAGCTACGAAAAAAGAAAGAAGTCGAGGTTTCAAGTCTCATTGAAAACGCAAAACGTGTGTGCCCATGTGTGAATCATGAATATGAGGCTAGAATCGTCAATCACACGCATGATAGTAAACCGAAAGAAACGTAAATTTGAAGATATGGTACTTATATGGTTCAACGGTTTGCCTATATCCACGGTCATATCTAAGATTTTATCATTCAATTATGGAAGTCTTGATTGGGCAAAATACACCAAATGCAACAAAGTTCGTTTAGTTCCTATTTAGGGGCCGTTTACTAAAAGCTTACTTGGTGAGTGCTTTCCCCGTCACTTAACTTACCGAATGACCATGGCAAAGAGCGAGAATCTTACCACGTAAGAGCGATAACAAGGATAGAGAGTCTTACCCGGTAAGTGAGCGTAATGACTCTTTACCGGGTTAGAGCTTACCGGGTAATTTGTTGCATACGATGTTGTTTTGATGGACTAGAATCTTATCTGGTAAGGTAAGTGGAAGTGTTAGACTCTTAACTGTAACCGCTTATTGGGTAAGTGTTTAAGTGAAAGGCCCCTTAGTCTAGAAAAAGAGTTTATTTTCATTTTTTTCTCGTCAATGTAAGAAAGTTCCAAAATTTCTAATTTTGTACCCATTTTGACTGGTAACCTCTGAACTTTTAACATTTGATAACATAAATGCCAATTTTCTAAGTTATAATGAGAGAATACGATGGTGAATCAACAGGTTATTGGTCAAAATACATTGATCGACAACTTCAAATGTTACAAGATCAGTAGGAACGGTCAAAATGGATATGAAATAGGAAGTTTTGAAACTTTGTAACATTGTTTGAGAATAAAAATATTTGTTACACTAAGAAGGAACTAAGGCAAAGAAGGAGGTTAAAAACGAGAACAATAACCAAATGAAAGAACACGAAATGGCCAAATCACGTGCAAAATCACATGTGATTTTACTCTAACGGCCAACACAAGGGTGTGCAGGCGATGTGGCCGGCGACCTCAAAGTTGCGTGAATCACATGTGAATATGTGATTTCACACGTGATATTAGCGTAAAATCACATGTGATTCGATCCATTTTCTTATTTAGTTAATGTTCTCGTATGAACTTGACTGCTAAGGCAATTTTGTTGCATTTTGCCCTTTTTTATTCAAACAAGAAAATATAAGATAGAAAACTTCCTTAACTATCAAACTAATTGTTTTCCAACGAGATTTGCGTGTATTAAGTTCTTATGTTATGAAACATACCTGAAAAGACTTTATCTTCTTTATTTTTCCGTTCTTCCGGATTTCAGGAATGCTTTCAACAATACGTACATCATACCGCAATGACGATATAAAATGATCAACATCATAGATACCTTGGAAACCGCTGTGCATTTGCAAGAAAAATTGCGATTAAAATGTCTATATCATTATAGCACATTAGTAAGGATTACAAAATCTTGATAGCATTGCTTTTGGTCCAAAAGATTCTTCTATTTTACCATTATTGAAGGGTATTTTAAATATTTAACTAATAGTGATCGGTCAAACATTTGCATCTATTTTTGCACGCATGCCGGGGGGTCTTCTTTTGAGAACTCTCTAAATCGTGAGATCCTTGATAACCGGTGCATAATGTGCTATTTCATATGATTTTTTCCATCTATGGCAAAAACTTAATATAGTGATTTAACATATATTTGTTTCACATGTACTCGGTTCGCAATGTGAATCTTTTTGCCGTGTTTGAGACACAAAAAGATACACGTAAAAGAGTTTCACATTGTGAATCGAGTACATATGAAACAACACATTATGAAACAAATATATGTTAATCAATACATTAAATACTATATTCAGACGGAAAAAATCATGTGAAACAAAACCTTATGTAGAAGTTCTCACGGAAATGATTAAGCCCCATTTTTGCATTTTGGGGGGGGGGGGGGGGGTAAGATACCTGTCATCGTGCCAGTAGGAATTTGTATCCAGCTCGGGCAGCACGAGGGTGGCATTCATGATTCGAGCAGCAAGAACCGCATTACAGATCTACATAAATTGATTAATTTGTACCTTAATAACACACTTAAGTCCAAAACAGTAGAGTGTTTATCATGGAACTATATAATAACTTTAAAGATTCACTTATCAGTGGTCTATTTCTTTGTTACCTTAAAAAATGAAGCGTTTGTTTAAGAAAAGGCTGGAAAAGGAACGGAGATGTCTATTATCTAGGTTCGGTTTTAACTTTCGTTCTTACCATTTTCAGAAAATTTTAGGTAAAAACTCTTAAAAACTACTTATTAGGCGTTAGATGTTGATTATTAATGCATAATATCCTGAAATTCAAGTTTACAAATCATTATACAGGATAAATGTTGAGCCCTACTAATATGGTTGAATAATCCATAATTTGGGATTTCTTTTTTATTAAGGAATTGCATTAATCTTTCATTCTCGGTATAATGCATTGCACAGGTATACAGATGATACTTTCATGAAACGAAAAACCAAACACAAGGCATGTACGTGGTTAACCAATTTGACTGCATCCACAGTCATAGGATTAACAAAACAGTTGGGCTACTTTTGCAATAAAAATGACAATAGAAAAAATGTCTTCCTATCCATCAAGACGATCCAAATTTTGACAAGGTCATCTAGTTGGATCTGGGAAGTAATGCTCCTATGTGTATAAATAGGACGGCAAAGAGGCGGAGCGACTTTGCTCAAATACACAATAGGTTCAAGTTCGAATCCTGCAGGAGACGGGCTTGAACCCCTCCGCTAGCCTCAGCCGTTGAGTCAGCTCTAAAATGCCTCCTCACATGTGGTCCCTAGGGGGCGGGTTCCTTGTAGGGCCGGTCAGAGTTGCCGGCAATCAACCTTTTTGCTCAAATATGTATAAGTAGTATGGAGTTGGAGGCAGAGAATATATATTTGAACATGTTTATTAGTTGGTTTAAATTTTAATGATTCACAATAGAGGCCTATGCATGCCATTTTTAATTGTACTTTCAAACCTCACCACCATCATTTTAGAAACGGACAATCTTGTACAAGGGAATCCAAGAGAACCTAAATTGCCGCATCTTGATCCTCCTTCTTGGATGATATTTGAAACCCTAAACCCCGTCTTCCCAACTTAAAAAAGAGAAGTTGATCGTACGAAACTAAAGACACTTCACTTTCAACTGTTATGTGTTAATCTTAACCTACAAGACAGTGCCTATGTGCTTACCCTACATCACCCTCCACAATAGTATAGCAAGTACTTTGTCCCAAAATAAACGTCCACAATGAAAAAGGCACACAGTTATATAAATACGTAAGTATTTAACTAACTAAATGACAATTTTACCCTTAACAATGGAGGGCGTAATAAATTTCTCCATCTCATGATTAAAGGTAGAATTAGAAGGTAGGCACTTGCTTTTGGAAGTGGACACTTATTTTGGGACAAACTAAGATAGAAATTCGGACACTTATTTTGGAGCGTATTTCTCATCAGAAAAGCAAGAATAATAAACATACCGCAGTCCGCTGCTGATTTAAACCTCCATTACAACGAACACGCAGATACCCATTGCTCTCATTTGGAGGAGCTAAAAGCATTCAGGATTAGAAATTGAAACATCATTTAGGGTATCAAGTTACAACAACTGTAGTCAAGAACATTAAGGACCCCAAAAGCACGTACGAGGCCAATAAGATCTAGGAGTCGATGAAGGTCTCCAACCGCCAGAATCAGCAGTATACCAAAGTTTCTGCATATCAACCTGCTCAAAGAGTCAAACCCAAGTCAAACTTCGAAGTCCTAGGCACACCAATCGAATAACTACAATCTAATAGAAATGATCGATGAAACTATCTACAAGAAACTTAACACCCAGATGAACACAATCCGAGAACATTATAATCTCAGTCATGCATCAAAAAGACTATAAAACCTTCTTATGGTGGAAGATGTAAAGCATAAACAATAGTAATCGTTTGTGACATCCAAATGGAACCCATCTATCGTCCATTTCAACTTATATATGCAACATATAAAGCACGAAGCAGCACAATGACCAAAACGTCTTTTCCGTTCTTTAATAGTTAAAGCTGATTATGTGGATTAATATAGATGGGGAGGGTCATAGATGGAAGGGTATGTTTCTTATTTGAGAGGGGCATATTTGGAAAAAACTTGGCTTTCTGCAAAAAAGCTTCCTTAGAGGCTTACCGAATAAGCCGTTTTCTATACAATTAAGGAGCTGGTTGGTTGGTTTTTCATTAAGTCCTAATGGGTAAAGCTGTCTGTGTGGATTAATGTGTATGTATAGATTGGGAAAGTTTTTTCACATAAGGAAGGGGCGTGATTGGAAAGAACAGGTTTGGAAAAACTTGACTTTCTGCATAAAACTCCCCCTAAAAGCCTACTGAATAAGCCATTTTCTATATCATTAAGTCACTAGCAAACAGTCGTATACAGCTGATCGAATAAACTATGACCTAAGTCATGTATATGATGGGCTTAAGCTGTTAACAAACAAGCCTTAAATCCTCTAAAAACCCCGCCACTAGCAACTCCAAAAGGGCTAGGAATTTAACGACAATGGTGGTGCCTGATTAGTTTGAGCTTAGGCTCCAAAGGTCAAAAGTGCCATGACAGGTTCAAATCCAAAGAGGAATAAAAATCCCCTAATGGGCAGAGGTTCAAATGCGGTGACTCCGGCTACCCGCAAAACAGTTGGTCGCACTCAATTTAGTCGGCTAGCATAGCATGTTGGATATCCATGTCAATAGAAAAAAAAGGGGCTAGGAATTCATGATCGCAATGAAGGGGATTCAACAACAACGCTTGAACATTGGCGCCAGAACAAAAGATAAGCATACGAAGGTTACAAAGAGAGAAGAGTGCTTAATGAAAAAGGGGATTGTTAAAGAAGTGACCTCAGATGGGGATTCTGGTGATAAGTAATTAGCCTTGCTGGCGAAGACGAAGAAGTAGATGATCATAATCACAAGTATAATAGCCACAATCGTGAATCTGTTAAACAGTCCCTTAACTTGCTTCAACTGGTGCCGATTATTATACGGTCTCTTGAACATCATTCCTTCTCCAGGCCTGATTAAGATCAAATAATCCACTATCATCAGAAAACCCCAAATCACATATAGTAAAAGGAAGATCAGTGGGAGTTCGTTTCGTTACATAACATTACCTCCTCATTTCATGAGACACCCAGATCGAACTTAAGAAATATGAGCGAGTAGAGAACGATTTGTGGCGGATCCAATCGCGGGTGGTGATGATAACGATGATGGTGATGATCAATGGTCGAAAAATGGGCCAAAGATTAGTTGATCGAGGCAAGATTCATAAAGAATCAAAAGGATTCCAGTTCTAAATTGGGATGTTAACTACACACAGGCACAATTTTGCGCAAGTGATTCTGATGTTCTTATGTGCAGTGTTTCCACAAGCTTTTCTAGCTATAATTTTTTATTTAAAATAAAATCAAAAATTAAATTCTTCAAAAAATATTGCATCCAACTTCTAATATTAATTATATTATTAGAAAAATAATATATTTGATATAATATTATTTATTTATTATAAACATTTATATTAAAACGAAGGGACGAATGAAAAGGTAAGTTATAGCAAAAAACATAAAAAAAAACTTGAACACTTGATTACTTTTAATCTTATGCTCACTCAAAATTTTACGCTTTAGATGATAATTGATCTGGTGCATCTTGGTGCACCTCATTAATGTTGACATTCAATTATAATTGATCCAATGACGAAGATCTATTCTTACGCTTCTTACCGTAACTTTCTTTCTCACCGGAACTCAATCTTTATTCTCAATACATCTTATTCATGGGAATTAAATAAAACATTATTTATTTTCCCAGCATAGAGTTTTAAAGATTTCTCCACATTTGAATATTTCCATATTTTCTCTTTTTTTCTCTATTTTAGCATATTAATTTGAGCAAAAAAATTGCTAAATTTTAAAATATATATATATATATATATATATATTTGTGTAGTTGTTAGAGATGCTCTAATATACGAAGCTTCTTAGTATACAAAAAACCGAAATCTCCAACAAATACGTCATATTTTCTCGTTATTTTTCCAAATTTGAGGATTTATGTATTTTCTATCATTTTTTTCTATTTTAGACGAGAGTTTAATATGGCTGTTTGAACAAAGTTTTCCCAGGTCTCCAAGATTTCTAAAATATCATGGCTATTGGATATACTCTTAGTTATCGGAACAGGAGGATAACGTTTTCTTAAGCAACGAGTTGTTATCATTCTAATTATATATCATGAATAACCCTGACCAATCACCTCCTTACATTTGTGTTAATTGCATTGTTGAGATAGACTTGTTCGATATGATATTGAACGAGGCTTTTTTTCGAACATAACTAGGAGTTGTAGAGCTACATTTACGATGGTTTGAGCATGTTTACATAAGATCGCATAACGACATTAGTGAGAACGGTCGAAAGGTGTCATGGTTGAAGGGGTGAGGAGGGGAAGGTGTTGGGAGTGGATATATGGGTTTATAGTGTCGTATGATAGACATATAAAGTAAGTCTTGGGAGGTTTTGTATGCTTTTTATCTGAGGTTTGAAGATTTAGGGGTTGTTTGCTAAATGCATACGCGTTAAGTATTTACAGGGTCACTTAACTTATGGATGAACAAAGAAAATACCAATATTTTATTTGGTAAGAGCAATGACAAGGACCATGAGTCTTACTCGTTATGTGAGTGTGACGACTTTTACCTAGTTAGCGCTTATCAGGTAAATTGTTGCATATGATGTTGTTTTAATATACAATAATTTTACCTGATGATGCAAGCAAGAGTGTTGAATCTTATTGGGAAGCGCTTATTGGGTAAACAATCTTTAGTTTTCTAACTTCTTTTTATTTCATATCCTTCAATTTTTATGTGCAATGCTCTTTGAATATATATATATATATATATATATATATATATATATATATATATATATATATATATATATATAAAGGGTGAGAGAGAGGGTGAGTTATTATACAACCATTTACATTTGTACAACCAATGCAACTCAATCTCAACCGTCCATTTAATTTGATGAATATGTGATTTTATAAAAGTTCTGATTATTTCATAATATAAAGTATTGATCATGATTAATAAACTTTAATTATCTTCCATAAATATTTAAATCATAATAAATGAACTCTCATCAATTCCATAAATATCTCAATTGATTGAGTTGCATTGGTTGTATAAATGGACATGGTTACATTTGAAATATACCCTATATATATACACACACACACACACACACATATATATATATATAGAGAGAGAGAGAGAGAGAGAGAGAGAGAGAGAGAGAGGGGGGTTTATCTGAGAAGTGTTAAATGTGTGAGAAGTGATCCTAGCTCTCATATGGTCAAATATTTGAGGTTTTAACTATGAAACACCGAATAATTCGGTCGCATAGTAAGGGGAAAATAAAGGATATTTTTGTGAATTTCATAAATAGACGGCAGACAAGTGTATATGTGAACCTGTATAATTTACATATGTACTATTTGTAAATAGTACATATGTGAACCCGTGTAATTCACATATGAACAATTTAAATAGATTATATGTGAATCAAACGAGTTTACATATGTATCTGTTTGCTGCATATTTATAAAAGTTACGAAAATACCCCTCTATTTTTCATTTAAAAATATCTACAATTAATTTGTGATAGATATAATTAATAAGGAAAAAATCGATATTTTAGGCATAAATATTTGGATTCATACTTTAAATCACAAACCGACCTTAGCTCAGTTGGTAGAGCGGAGGACTGTAGTTGGCATCAAGCTATCAGCTTATCCTTAGGTCGCTGGTTCGAATCCGGCAGGTCGGATCTTTTTTGCCTCTCCAATCTTTTTGATTTCTTTACTTTTTGTTGTTCTCGGATGTGAAGATCAAAAGGAGAGAAGTCGTCGCTGTGCTTCAACTCGATCCAGCATCTTCACTCCATCTATGGTAAGTGTTAGATACTCCAATTCGGTTTTTTTGACCCACAAACTCACACTTAAAGCCCTAGATTGATTGAAGTCGTATCATCAACTTTTCAATTCCTCTTGCATTCATCTGAATGAATCGAATCTGAAGATAAGCGTTTAGTTTCAATTTGATGCGTTTACTTTGATTTCATGTTAGTATTTTAGAAAGATGCAAAGCAATTCTTAGGAGATGTATGTGTATGTAAATGTTGCTTTTGCTTCAACAGTTCAACTGAATGCATATTTCTTTGAAGTCATTTTGTGTCAGATTCAGATGTGGATGATGCGATGAACTTTTTAATCATTATTCATTGGTATTTAACTTGATCAGTTGTTCAGGATGCACAATCTGCACAAAAGATTTATTGTCTTGACGAGTGTATATTTGCAAGTGTATCATGGGCGACCCTGGTGTATCAACTACCAAAAGGTGCACCACGATTTGTGGGGTTTAAGACAAGTGTTTTTGGCAGTGTTTTGTCTTGCGAAGATCTGTTTGAATATGCTACATAAACTACATTTGGGGAAAATGAAATTTTGTATGTTTTTGTTTGTTAGTCGTAACTCATAAGGATCATTAAATGTAGGTGAGAAATCATGACATAGGTGAGTGAGTGACATGATTGTGATTTATGTTTATTAGCTAATGTGGAATTTTTTGTGTTCTTCTCATGTATCTTCTTATGCATAATAGAGTTCTAATGTTTGTTTTTGATGTTTTAGGTGATTTACTGCCAAGTTGGCATACTTTTTCTTGTGTTTGTAGGAATTAACGCTTCATGTTTTGCAGGCAAGCTCATTGAGGTTGTATTTGACTTGCATACGAAACACTTTAGAGGCCGCCATGTGTTTGCAGGTAAGCAATTATGCTATAGTTAGATGTCCTTTTACGTTTCAAAAGTTGGAGAAGGAACTTGGTCCCTTTCTTGGTGGAAGTGCTACAAGTTTACGGCTAGAGAAGCCAAAAAAGAATGAAAAGAGAAGTATAGGACTCGTTAGCAGGGTTTGTGCATCATTAGTTGGATTGTCTAGTCATCTTGGAAGCACGGATGCTTGAACCTTACCGAATCTCTGTATCGGGTGTTTAAGTGCTTTAGGGTGCTGAATGGTGAGGCATTGCCTGTATCTATGAATTGTAGACCACAAGTTCAGGCATACCAGATAATGAATATGCAAGGGGTTTGGCTAGAAAAATAAAGAGATTGAAGTTCACAAATTATAAAATTAGAAATTAAGACTAAAGTTCAAATGTATGTGAGAGGAGGCTAGGCCATGCATTGAATTTTCCAGTTAAAAGTTTAGATTAGCATAGATGCACCAAATAAAATAGGAGTGGGATAAGACACAAACTTAAGCAGGTGACCATAGGGCCATTGGCCTAGCGGTACCTAGTAACCCCACCTTCTTGGGGTTAGGGGTTCAAGTCTCACCAAAATTGAGAAGTGTGTGAGTTCAATTTGCCATAAATAAATATTATAGACTTCAGGAAAAAAACCTTAAGCATGTGCTTGTTCTATACAGTTATATGAATTATGAGATTTTAAAGTTGTATATACAATTATACATACACACACATGTACACACACCAATATCCTCAAATTTTAGATTCAACAAATCTTGATGTATCCGTGTCATGCACCCATATCCTTGCAGCATACGTCAACATCAGGGTTAAGCAGAGCTATGTAACTACTAATTTGAGGTTTGAATGCATACATCTCCTCTAATGTTGTCATATCCTTTTTGCAGAACTTCCCTTGTCAAGAAGTTGAAAGGCATAACAAACCCGAAGTTGAGATGAAGTATGTAGCTGATACTCGAATTAGCCTTCTTTTGAAACTCATTTTATGATGTTTATTTTTGTATCCCTCGACCCCCAATGTATTGACTAGAGAACAAAGTGAAGAAAAACTTCATGTCAAAAAGTTTTAATATTTTTCTCTTCCATTTTCAGGACCAGCCCGGAACTTCTGCTCAACCCTGTAAGAACAGAATCTTGGTACTTCATATGAACTACTTAACAAAGTATTTTTTATGTAGGCTGAAATTAGTCTGTGATACCTCCGCATGTAAAGCATTAATGAGGATAGACAAAGGGATGGAATTACCTCCTCATGTAAAGCATAAAATTGACACTCTAGTACATCTTCCTTTGCAGTTATTGTTCTTCACAAAAAAAATTGTTGGCTTTCTTTGCATATGAACCCTCTTTCTTGCGGAAATGGAAAAGAGAGAAAAGAGAGAAACACTACACTTTGCAAGAAACCTTGGACAAAAAGTGCCAAAGAAAATGGTCTCTTTTTTGCATTTATATTTACACTTACTCAATTGTGTACTTCTAATTTAGAAATTGGAAAAATGGTAATGTTGCGATTTGCATGGGATGAAAAGAGTATCTTTATCCCAAAGTCTGAAGGCATCCTTTTTAATTTAAAATTGTGGTTAGAGATCAGCATTGCACCCTTCTTATGATGTTTTCCTCTTTTCCCTTTGTTTTGATTGTCATGGTATAAGTACTAGTGCTTGTTTTTTCCGTTGATTATTTATCTTCTTATTCCATTTCAGGTTTTGATTTGTCGAAATGAGGCTGAAAAATGCTTGATTGAAACTTCTATTAATTCACTACGCATAAGCCTTAAGGTAATTGCAGTAAATGTTTTATCAATCATTTCATTTACATATTTGTTGCTCATGTAGTGATGAGAACAAGAGGCATCTGATGTGTCACCTACTGTTCTGGAAAAAAGATTCGAACTTCCAAATCAAAGTTTATAAATAATTTCTTTGATCGCATGAAATTTGCAACAATTGACCGAGCACATATCTATTTGACAGAAGTCTAAAGTAGCCTTAAGTAATGACAATACAAGAAGTCTTGTAAACTCTAATCAATTTAATCAGCTTTTGTGTAATGATGACAATGGGCAAAGAGGTCCTGGAAGTTGAGAACATCCCAAGAAAATGAAAATGAATGGAAATCTTTCCAATATTTACATGACAAATGGAGTATATATTGTCAGGATTGATAATCATATACACACAACAATAGTTGTGAAAAACGAAAATGGGAGACACAATACTTGCGTGGTTCAACAATTTGCTTACATTTCCGGTCGTTGCTAAGATTCTTATTTTATCTTGTGAATTCTATTTATAGGAAAATAATATACACGACAATGGACAAGACTATATCGACATCCTAGTTGCCTTGATTGTAATTTGTATCGTGCAGCTGGTTCCACAAAGTTGTCTTCCAGTGTATAGTCTAATTTAGACTCCAGAACCAACGAATTTTAGTTGCTGAAATATACCACATTGGTTAAAATTAGTAGTGAAGATCAACTTAGAAGGGTATAATTTATTGAACCTTGATTCTTGATCTTGGGATTGTTGTAAGCTCAATTGAAACTAAAGAACAAAGATTGTCATAAACCTTGCTACCTTTTGTATTTCAGCAGGTCAACAGTTGCTTCCATTTTCTTAGTTGAGCAACATCTTATTTGCATCAAATCAGTAACGTTTCAACTCTCCTATTTTGGTGCGTACATAGGTAAAGCAGGCAGACGAGCTTGAAAACATCCTGACCAAAAAGTTCCTTAGATTTTTGTCGATGAGGGCAGAAGCTTTTCAAGTATTACGGAGAAAGCCAGTACAGGTGTGCAACGCCTTTTATGTCATGAGCAGATTCTTTTATGTTTTTTAACTTTACTTTAGCCAATTGAAAATTGTTTTGCATCCCTAATCACGAAAATGTGATTATGGGATTATAAAGTAACTTTGCTTGAAGGATAAAAAGTGATTTTCTATACTGGATAGTCATTCTGTCTGAATGCTAATTGCTACATGAAGAACATGAGCGAGATGATGGAACGGGAAGACCTAGGATTTTTCATAGTGATTGCATATTTAACCAATTGTAGAATCAGGAACAATATTCAACTGAAATATTCTATGGGTGTATTTTTCCTGAGACAAGCGTGAGCTTGCTCGGCTCAAAGCTTGGCTTGTGAAAAAATGGTAGGCTCAGGTCGGGCTTGTGCTTGCCAAAAAGTCCATGGCTAGGCTCAATAAGCCACAAGCTCAAGTTGTGGCTTGTATAGGCTCAGCTCCTATGAGCTTGTGTAGGCTGATATAAGCTTGAGCTTTTGCTTGGTTTGTATGGGCTTATATACAAACAAAAATCAATCTGTAAGAAAAGTTGCATGTAAACCCTCTTCCAAGTAGTTACAATTAAAATTTCCAAAGAGGCCGAGACAAATAGGTGTAAATATAAATTAAACCAAGTGGCCCATGTAGATTTCACAGACTCAACTCATCGAAGCTTGTCTCATTTAGGCTCAACGTGCAGCACAAGTCCAAGCCGCACTAGGCTTGACCTTGGGTTGGGTTTTCAAGTGAGTCGGATTGGCTCAAGCTTACCAAGATTTTTAATGAGCCGTCTCATCTCATCTACACCCTAAGAGATACCACAGTCCACATATACATATATATATATATACACACACACACACACACACACACACATATATATATATATATGATTGCACTTTAACTTTGCATATTTGTTTGATTTTACTTATTGATTAAAAGAAAGTCAAATTTTGTGTTCATGATATTGCCATTTTTTTCAAAATGAATACCCTCTTAATATTAGATTGTGATCTTTTATGGAGAATATATGCCAAGGCTTCATCGTTTTTCATGACCATATTTCTCTTTTTATCCTTTTTCAGGGTTATGATATTAGTTTTCTCATCACTAATTACCACTGTGAAGAGATGCAGAAGTACAAGCTTATTGACTTCATTGTGCAATTCATGGAAGTAAGATTTCAACGAACTTTAATTACTGCCTTCGACTTCATGCTCCATATTTGTCTTGTGTACACATATTTTCGTTGCAATTTTTGCGAATGTTGTTTCTATGATTCAAATAACCTTTAGAACACATGATGAACTTACAAGATTCTTGATATGTGTAGCATTGGTTCAAATAGGAGGCATTAACTAAATTTAAGTGTAGAGACTAAGGAGCCGTTTATCAAACACTTAACCGGTAAGCGCTTACCGGCAAAATGTAACACTATCATTTACTCACGGGGTAAGATTCTAGTCCACCAAAACGGTATCGTATGCAACAATTTACCCGGTAAGCGCTTAATGTGGTAAGAGTCGTCACCCTCACTTACCGGGTAAGACTCTTGGTCCTTGTCTCGCTCTTACCGGGTAATATTTTTGGTTCTTACCATGTTCATCCGGTAAAGTAATGTGGCTTTGTGTTCACTTACCCGAGTAAGCGTTTGGTAAACGGCCCCTAAAATGTATGCATCCAACTGGGTTCTGTTTCCAAGTAGGAATCCTTTGGGTGCATTTGGTGTGCGGGGCAGGTTAGTACAAAAACTTGTCCCACGTTTGGCCACACGACATTACATTGGGACAGGAAAGAAGCCGTGCATTTTGTCTGTCCCACCAAAATAAGTAGAACAAGAGGCAGGGAAACGAGACAAGTTTGGTAAATTATTAAACTACCCATGTCAAATTAAAACCTTCCACAATTCTTCACCCGCTTACCTCACTCTCGCCCGTGCAATCCTGTCCAGTCCCGTCTAGTCCCGTCTGCATACCAAAAGCACAAGGTTTAGCTCATAATAAAATGGAGTCAAACTAGGAATTATTTAGTAAAGAATGTGGAACTTGTCCTCTTAATTGAGGTAGGACATAGCTTCAGGTATTAAGATGCTTGTTTTAATGGCAACTCATGATGATGAAATTTATCCCTTTTTTTAATATTAACCTGGATATCCAACTTGCTATGCAAGCGACTAATCCCAGGGCTACCACCTGCTTTACAGGTAGCCCGGAGTCACCGCATTTGAACCTCCATGGTCACAGGGGGATTTTTATTCCTCCTTGGATTTGAACCTGGGACCTCCAGACACTTTTGACGTTTGGAGCCCAAGCTCAAACCAATCAGACACCACCCTTGTGGTTGTCTTTCTATCCTTTTGAAGGAAGAAAGAAGAAAAATTCTCGGAGTTCGAATTTGTATATGAAATGGGAAGTTATTTGTATAATCGGGATTTTTGCAGGATATCGATAAAGAGATAAGTGAACTGAAGTTGTCAATGAACACAAGAGGAAGGCTAGTGGCAACAGAATTTCTGAAGCAATTCATCTGAGAACCATCACCTTGTACATCATATATATGTTTCAGACTTGTTTTGTTCCAAGCGGGGCAGGGGCAGGGGCAGGGGGCAGGGGGCAGGTAGGTTTGTTTCAAGGACTTCCTTTGTAGTATTTCTATATGTTATACCTTGCAGTGTGTATTACAGGTTTTTGTGTGAGAATATGTGAAACCTTATATTAATTTGTGAAAGAGCTTTTGAGGAGAGAAAAGAGGTTCTACTATATATAGAGGTGAAGTGGTCACTGGACAGAACAAAACGTTGGATATTGTTCTACGTTTCACATGACTTTTATGTGGAACAAACATGAACATAGTGGAATAAACTTGTTTCATCCCCACCTTAGGGTGTGTTTGGTGTCAAGACAGGATAAAACAACTGTTCAACATTTGTTAAGATAGAACTGGACAAAACAGAACAAATAAAATGACCAATTTAGTCTTGATGAGTTGTTTATTTTAATTAATTTATGTAATTTATTAAATTATAATAGAATAACTATTTTTTTATAACAAACTATATCATTTGAAGTTTTCGTTAAAACAATTAAAATGATACCAAATAAAAAGTTTATGTAGTTTTCTATTTTTATTTTTATCTCTTTTCTACATTATTTTTTATTATTAATATATTATAAATTACACAAATTAATAAAAATATAGAAACTGTATAAAAATAATATTTTGAGGACAGTAAAATGAAAATTTAAGAAACATAAAATACAATAAATAAAATTTAAAGAATGAATAAAATGTAAAAAAGAGACTTATTAGATGTTTTAGAAGAAAATTAAGTTTTATTTTGAGGTTATATTGGTAAAATATAAGTCTGTTCCACCTTGTTCCATGGGGTAGGGATGTTCTACTTTGTTCCACTCTGTTCCACATAAAATTCATGCCTAACATGGGACAGTGATTCCTGTCATGTTTTGTCATGTCCCTGTCTAGTGTACCAAACGCACCCTAAGGGTGGGACAGATTTATATTTTATCAATATAATTTCAAAATAAATTTTAATTCTATTTTTAAACTTCAAATACTTCTTCCTCTTTACATTTTATTCATTCTTTAAATTTTATCTTTATTGTCTTTAAAATATTATTTTTATACGATTTCTATAATTTGATTAATTTATGTAATTTATTAAATATTAATAATAAAAAATATATAGAAAAAGTACAAAAATAAAAATTGGAAACTATATAAACTTTTTGTTTTTCCAATTCTTGTTTTGGTGTCATTTTAATCGTCTTGACGAAAATTTTCTAATGATATATTTTGTTACAAAAAAATATGTATTTTATTATAATTTAATAAATTACATAATTAATCAAAATATATAACCAACTGATTAGGGGTAAATTAGTTATTGTCTATTTTGTTCTGTCCCGTCCAGTTCTGCCTTACCAAACGCTAAACAACTGTATTGTCGAGTTTTGTCTTATTAAACACTAAACAATTGTCTTGTCCAGTTTTGTCTTATTAAACACTAAACAATTGTCTTGTCCTGTCCTTAGTGTCTTGTTCTGTTTTAGTCTGTCTGCATATCAAACACACCCTTAATACACTCCCTCCAATTGAGGCCAGACGTGCATAGATTTTCTCGAAGTGGACTACACGAGTATAAATTGCACCAAAGTGCGGAGTCCCGATGGTGGGTAGACCTAGACTACGATACTACGTGAGAGTATATGAAACCTCGCATTAATCACCAAAAGAACATCCGAAGAGAAATCACCAAAAGAGTCTTCGAAGAGAAATCTCCAATATGAGCTATCAAAAAACTTTGTACTTTTAACACATCACTTTTCCACTTACATTTTTTTAACAAAAACCTGTATTTATAAATCTTCTCCAATGCAAAAACCTCTTCAAAAGTTTTTCTCATCAGTTACATTGGCTGTAGGGCTTGCTTCTATTGGACCTGGAGTTGGTCAAGATACTGCTGCGGGTCAAGCTGTAGAAGGTATCGCGAGACAGCCCGAGGCGGAGGGAAAATTACGAGGTACTTTCAATGAATACAATAGGATTTATGGCTACACAAACTGTTGAGAATTATGCTCGATAAAAGGAATGAGGGAAGCTCCAATAGAAAAAAATATTGGAAGAAAATGAGTCCAATTCTAAAGGATCAAACCTATGGGACTTAAGGGGAATATAATGAAATAGAGCCGCTTTGAAGTTCCCTATGAAATGAGGATCTAATTCATTGAAATTCCATCCAATAAAACGGTCGTTTGTTCTATTCTACTAGAACCCCTCTTTTTTATTGGGTTGTAATGCATTTGGGTCGTTGCGATTACGGGTTGGATGTCGAATTGTCCTAGTAAATACTAGACAAATGGGCTTTCTACATATGCATCGTCTAAAACAGGGTTCCCTTATCGTGGATCCCTGGGGAAGAGGATCAAGTTGGCCCGACCCGCTTTTTGAATTCTTCGATTTTTTATTGACTTCATCTGACACAGGTGGGTAGGTAGAGAATACCTAGAGGCGCAAGCTTACAATCTTATCCCCATCTATATAAAACATTTTATAAAAGTTACTTAACTTAAAAAAATGGATTCATTAAAAAATGAAAGACGATGAATATATTATATGATTTTTAGATTTTTTTTAGGTATTTAATATTGGTGTCGATTTGATCGTCTTGACGAGAATGTTTTAACACTGTATTTTGTTATAAAAATATATTTGACATTATTATAGATATTTGATGAATTAGATTATTAATCAAATATGATAAGGTTTAAAATAAAAATATAATTAAGGATGGGTGTAAAATCAAAATTGAATTGGAAAAGGGGTTTTCTCCAACTGGCTGGAGTTTTCCAAACTTTTACTCTAATACAGTGGTGGCCAAAAATCGGTCCTAGTCCGATCCGGTCTAGAGGTTTTGCATAACCGGTTCCGGTCCCGGTCGAAAAGGTGAAGACCGGTTAAGGCAAATCATAAACGGTTATGGGGTCCCGGTCCCAACTGGTCCCGATATTTAAAAAATTATCTGTTAGTCCCGTAAGGGTCTACAAAAAGAGAAACAGTTTGTAGAAGGGGGGGGATGAATACAAACACAGTATTTTCAAATTTAAAATATATATTGATAGAGAAGATCAATACATATTTTACAAGATTGTTTGCGGAAAGATAAGGTAATAAAAACCTATCTAAACAATCTTTGGTTACACACAAAGCTTTAGCAAATACAAGAAAAGAGACTGCTAAAAGAAAGATACTTTACTTAAGCTAGAAGATGCTTGAAGTAAGAATAAGGTTAGAGAGATGCGCGCTCTCTGCATGGAGAAGAAACACTTCTATTTATACCAGTGCATTAAATGATCATTTAATGCAATATGGTAGGTTTAGAGTGCGTGTCAAACCTTAAGAGGAAGGCTTGTCCTTTGCTACAGTGAATAGTACAAAAGCACTATTTTTGAGCAGACATCCTTACCTAAAGTTAGTGGACAAGGAGTCGACTAATCGGCTTCGTACCGTACTAACTTTTGTAAGGGTATGGTTTTTATTCTTTGTGTGCATAAGGACAAGACAACAAGAATCGTGCTAAGCAAGCTTCCTTTGATCGCTGAATGCTGGAATGACCTGAAGGTCTCATCATCATTCGCTGAAGCTAGAGCAGTCTTCACACATATATAGACAGACTTGTAATCATTGAATACCGCTTCAGATCACGTACTCGCTGGTCTCTAATCTTCAGTTTCAGTCTTTGACGTTTGCTGAAGGTTCTTTGGTGTGAGTGTTGTCTTCTTGAAGTATTGCTGTCTCTGAAAGATTTACAAAGCAAGTTCTTCAGCGATCACTGAACATATTCAGTGAAGATCGCTGGAACTGAAAATACAGAAACACAAATACAACGTGAAATAGAAAAGGGATTATCATCAAATCACTGAGAGAGAGAATCAACATTATCTTTTTTTAATGATATATATTTTTAATACATTATAAAATTTGTAATTTGGTCATTCAAATATACTTTAAAAATGCATTTTAATATAATTAAAATTATGTTGTCTTAAAAAAATACATTATAAAATTATTTAAAAATACAATTATTTATAAAATTATTTTAATTTTCGGGCTGGACCAGGCCGGTCCATAACCGGTCCTGGTCCCGGTCGGTCCCACGAAACTGCCAAAACCCCCAACCATTCCCAGTTTTTGGTCCGATAACCGGTCCTGGTCCTCCGTCGGTCCGATTTGGCCATCACTACTCCAATGTCTAAAAAGCTATTAAGAGGTCATGTATTGGAGATGCTTTTACAACATCTCTAATACACAAGTTATTAAAAGACTTTTAACTTTTATTATATCAACTTTTCAATGGCATTTACTTAAAAAAAACCGATTTTACAAATCTTTTCCAATACAAAAACTTTTTAATCAATTTTATTATAATTTGCCCTCATTTATTTAAAATATTTTATAAAATTCTCTCATTTAATTTGTCATTTTAAAGTACATGTTATATTTTTCAAAAACAAAAATTACTTAACATTAAAATCCAAATATTTAAAGACATTACAATAAGCGATATTTAAAAATTACTTTGACATTTTCTTTTCTTTCGAAATGAAGTTTGTATTTTATTAAAAAGAGTAAATAATAAAACTCACCGATACAAAAACACGATGACAAGGACACACAAAAAGCGACTCGTTAAAAAAAAATGAGAGACGGGGAGTAGATTATATATTTTTTAGGTATTGGTATCGTTATCGGTGTAATTTTGATCGCCTTGACGATAGATTTTTAATAATGTATTTTGTTATAAAATATATTTGATTTTATTATAGATATTTAATGAATTAAATTAATTAATCAAAATTTTGGTAAAGTTTAAAATGAAAATTATATTAAAAGAGGGAATAAAATGAAAATTTAAGGAGGTAAAATGAAAATAGTTACTATTTGGTGCTGAGTAAGTTATTGAACAAATGAGCCGTTTACTGAACACTTACTTGGTAAGTGCTTATTGGATGAATTTCCTCATCGGATGAACATGAGAAGGGTCAAAAATTTTAACAGGTAAGAGCGATGAGAAGAATGAAAAGTCGTACCTGGTAAGTGAGGATGCCGACTCTTACACAGGTAAACGTTTACCCAATAAATTATTGCATTCGATATGTTTTGATGTACTAAAATCTTACGCATAAAAAAATTATAATGTTGATTCTTAATTTCTTATCAATAAGCGCTTACCGGGTAAATATTTGGGTAAACGGCCCCAAAAAGTCTTTAATTGCAATAGCCCTTCTCCAATGACCTTTTAAATAGTAAAAAGCTATAAATGACTTACGCATTGGAGATACTCTAAAATTTGAAATGGTATACGATCGTGTAGGCATACATAAATATTAGTGCATTAATTAAAGGTAAATATGAGGATTAACATCAGGGGTTTTTAATCAAAAGAAAACAAAACTAGGAAGTATTTATTAAGTCATATTACCTTATCGGATTAACATGATAAGGACTGACAATCTTGTTCGATAAGAAGGACCAAGAGTCTTACTCGGTAAACGAGAGCGCGTTTACCGGGTAAATTGTTGCATACAATGTCGTTTTTATGGACTAAAATCTTATTCAATAAGGTAAGTGGTAGTATCGAATCTTACTGGTAAGCACCAGTCAAGTCTTTACATAAACAGAAATCAAATTTTACACCAATCGAAGAAAATTCATTGTTTGTGTTGTGTTACCCATTGAAGAAGTGCTATTAAACAAAAAAGAAAAACTAAGAATTCTTTGATGAAAATGCAAAACATGACCTTTTTTACACCATCAACAACTATTGATTTAATAAGGTCTTGTTTGACAGTTGTTGAATAATTTAATTCAGAATAATTAAGTGGTTAAAATGTTTAAGAGGCTCTCATGATATAGTGCAAAATGAAATATAATTGTTCTGTAATTGTTCGCAATAAAATTATAATGCTGAATGGTGAAGGGAGACCTTAGATACAAAAAGAGACATATTTTCTTTTGTCAAACAAGATTCACTTATTAACGATTCAAAAGTTGTCTCTTAATCAAACTATTAAAAAATAATCAAATAAGTCATGAACCAATCTATGAAAGCCAACTAAAATCGATTTTTTATTCCATTTCCTTCTCTTCTTTTGATGTAGGGTTTGCGTCTTTTTTCACTTTACTTCAACTTTTTCTTCAATTTCTATTATTGTAACAGTGGTTTGCAAAAAAAGCCTGAATTTGTTTCATTAAAAATTCCGTTAAATGACGATTTCTTTCACCCAATCAAATCGAATTTTGATCCCAATGGTTTTTGATTGTGCACAAGACAAAAAAAATCGATAAAAAGACAAAAATACTCCTTATTTAACGCAATTTTATAACAGCCACTAGAAAAAAAGACCAAATCCTAACATTTTTGATCTTATAATTTGAAAATAGGGACAAAAATTATTAAACCACAGGGACCAAATTTGAGTTTATACACAAGATAATTAGAAGTACTAGAAACAATCATACCATAAAGGAATGAGCATCTTTTTAGCCACAATTTTGCAATAAACCATTTCAAAGTACAGAAACCATCATGTTCCCTGGCAATTTTTGCCAGAGTTGAGTTGGGCACACAACCTGCTATGAACTTAAAATATCTATATCAAAATTTTGACCAATCATTAGTAACAAACCTCTCAAAAAGGCCAATATCTAACCTAACATAACAGAAAAGATGTGTATATATGGTACAAAACAGACCACACAAACCAAAATAAAAAAGGATATATGATGTTGCTTCTCCTTTCACTGGGACTTCGGTTTTTCGATTTTGACATACGGCAAGAACCCCACGAAATGCGTAATTCTAGGGTTCCATCCTCGTTGCTGAGCCCGACAAAACATCAAAAATTCATTTGCAAAATAGGAGTTGAATCCCATGAATACATGCCACAAAGCGTGGCCCTGGGGATTGAAGTTCCAAACGGAAACGTTGTTACAGAAGAGACGGTCACAAAGCCAACACGAAAGCCCTACCAACAATGTGATCATGTATAGTTTGGCTACACGCTTGGCGGGTTTATCTTGTGTGTGAATGTAGTACTTGTACGTCCTCGGGATGCATAGAAGACAGAGTAAAACGTAGTGAACTTTGAAACCAATATCAAAACGGAGCTGTGAATGGAAAACGGCAAAAAGTGCACCGTAGAGGAATAAAAAGATGGGCATGGTACTTTTGTAATGCCAATCTGGTGAGTAGAGGATGTAGATGTACAAGAGCATTTCCCACACCATAGGTGTTTCGTCACCTTGCTGTTGCCTGAAAATGCAAGTAAAAACTTCTTCCATCAAATATAGATCACCACAGCAAAAAGCATAATTCACTTTTCTTTTCAAGACAATGCACATGATTAACACAAGTCTTGTATGGAAAAAGCAAACTATATGGATTAATCTGTCTGGATTGTTTGTGAAGGTTTTTGTTTGGAAAGATTTTTTCCCAGATGGAAGGAACATGATTCTTATTTGGGAGGGGCAGGTTTGAAAAAAACTTGGTTTTCTGCATAAAGCTCCCCCATAGAAGCTTACCAAATATGCCACTTTCTATGTCATTAAGCCTTTACCAAATAGTCATGTATAGCAGAACAAATAAGTTGAGAGTCCCATTAAGCTCGTTAAGTTGTTAACAAACAGGCCCCAAGACATAAACACCCCAAAGATGTCAATGATCAAATGGTAAGAAGAAACCAAAATAGCAGGCACCCGACAATTGTGGAAAGGTAGGAGCACGTGCACGTTCTATAAGTCGGGGGTTTTCCGGTCGAACATCTAAAGGGGTAATGGCAATGTTCTGAGTGAAACAAAATTAGCGTCCTTGAACTTCAAAATTCATAACATAAATGATCCAATTTGCCTCCATTATCTTCTTTTGAAGTATATAATATTTATATACAACAAATACTCATGCACAACTCCTCACCTTCGGGCGAGTTTTGAACCTTGGACCTCCTGGGAGGTCGGGCTCTACCACTAGGCCAATAACTAAAATAATATACATATTAAAATTCCATTATATGCTGGAATACAAAAAGAAAGTCACCTGCTCTTATTTCTTTATTTACTTGTATATGATGTAAGAGTTTAAGTCCTGGTTATGAAATTTGTTTCTTCTACGTTACAACTTTAAATATGCATGTAGAGGGTTTTTTTTTCCATTAGAGTAACATGAGAATTGGGTCTACAAACACTTACAGTCGTTGCAATGTGGCATGGAACAGCATGCTCCCAATAGCAAGCATCATATTTGAGATGTGGAGTATGCTAAATCTTTTCTCAAACCGCTGGCTCAAGGCAATCACGAGGCCAATAAGCGCAAAAAGAATGCTTGGGATATTTGAAATTGTGTTATAGAACTCTGCAATATAAGAAGAGTACACATAATTCTGTTCACACCACTCTGTGGTGGAAGTAACAGGGCCCCAAAAACTTGATGTTGCAAATGCCATTCTTCGAACTAGATGCTGAGTGTATCAACCAAAGAGTTATAGTCACGAAGCAAACAATCTCAAGATTTTGAGTCACCACTGCTGCTGCCTGCACCTTGTGAACATAAATGTGAATACTTCAGTAATGCATTCACGAAACTTACAGCGTTGATGAATGAAAGCTTATGCATGATATTTGTGTTAAAAACAAACCACAGTAGGACTTCAACTTAGATTTAAACCAAATATTTATTTGTCTATTTAAACAAACAGTTCATCCATTCAACTTGGTTGCGCTCTTGATTACAATTCATAAACCAGCACCTACACCCTTACACCCTTGGTTCCCCACTGAGTGTCCTAAGTTGATCTTGAGTTACCCATTCAAAATCAATACGAACTTCTTCACAGGTTTAACGCCAATATTTTGTCTAACTGCATACTTGTTGCATAATTTAAGACAGCCATGGGTTGCTCAACAAGGATTCAACAAATGCTACCAATTTTGAAATTAAAAGTATTTTGTCAGGTTAAATAAAGTGTTAAGGTGATAAATGCCTCTAAAGATTATCACACCATATACTATTTGAGGATCAGACCTGCAATCACCTTCATGTAAACCATATAGATCCTAACCACATAATAGCATAAATATTGCTAAATACACCTCTACCTTCTAATTTTCTCATTGGTCAACATTGACTTGCTTTTTACATTTTCAATATAGACCTGATTCCAACATAAATAGAGGTGCATGTAGCAATACCCTTTCAATGTATTACTTTTTACCCTTTACAATGTAATACAAGTAACACGAAACAAAAGAAACACTAGCGAACAGATCTACAACAACATCCTTTTAGACAATATGAATCAAAATGGTCTCCTTTCATACTGTTATCGTTCAGAAGACTCAAAATCACTTCATGGAAGCAAGATACAAGTCTTCATGTAAACCATATCCTAACCACTGAATAACATTTCCAAATACAACTCTTCTCTACACTATTTTTAAATCCGTAACATTTGGTTTTGGTATAATACACAAAAACACAAAATAAACATGAATTCACACGTCGATCTAGAACAACGTGCTTCTAGACAGTATCAATCAAAGCATTTCAAACTTTTTTCATTACGATCCTAAATATCACTGAACAGTAGCAAAATAACTACAAATCAGAATAAAAAAAAACCCTAATTTCATCCATTCTAGCAACAATCACACTTGACAACACAGTTTCAAATATGAACAATCATCAAAACAATTGCATGTACCGAAAATAAGAGATGGAGATCTATGTAACGTACATACCACTAATCAGCTTCTATTCCCTGCCAGTTGGGCCTAAATCGTACGTAAAGAGAGAAATAATTCACAGAGAAATCTCTCTCTCTCTCTCGTACACGGGGAACAGAGGATGAACTTTTGAGTTAATTGGAAAAGATTCGTCACGCGGATTTAAAGGAATCTTTGAAACCGCTAGTTCGAGCGCGTGGCTGAAAGCCGCATAGGCGGAGGGAGTCGGCAGATGCGCGTAGGAGATCAAGGCCGTTGGATTGAAATCGTTTAGATTACACCATTTTCAACAACCATCTGAAAATAAAAATAAAAAAATATTAGAAATTTTTTTATTTTAACAATTATATTAAATGGTATATTAAGATAGAAAAAATAATAGATATACGTAAAAATCTCTAAATTTAAAGAAATTTTAAAACATATACAGAAAAAAAGATATTATAAAGTATTTAACAAAAATCTCCTTGTGGTCATGAATGTTTAAATACGGTAGCTCCAGGCTACCTGTAAAGCAGATGGTCGTTCTGGGATTAGTCCGCTCGCATAGCGGGTTGGATATCCAAGTTAATTAAAAAAAACTCAATTTCCTCTCTTTTCTATATAGTTTAAGGTTCCATTTGGTTTGTAGAATTGAAATGGATTTTGAAGCCATGTTTGGTTTAAAAGATTTCATAATTTGAAATCTCAGGATTTCATTGAAATCTAATTAACATAGGATTTAGAAATCTGTGAGAGTGGTTGGTATTTTATGTGATTTCGTAAGATTTGTGTATATTAATATTTTGAAATATATTAAAAATATTTGTTTTGTAATAATTAATTAATAAAAAGGTAATTTAATTATTTTTATACTTTTTAATAAATTGTTTTTATAAATTATTTATTTAGAACAGAATTCAATTATGTTCTAAATTTTACAAATCAAACATACCAAAATTTCAAATTCATTCAAAATTCAAATTCTTTGATTCCAAATTCTTTCACAAAATCCAAATCTCTCACAATTATTCCATCAAACCAAACGCCCCATGATTTTCTACATTGGAGTTTTCTCCATAATTTTTTATCTGAGAGAATTTAAAAAAGCTGTTGAAGTATTATAGAAAATAAAAGTTGATTTTCTCTATTTTAAAGAAACTGTTAAATCTGTAAAAAAACACTTAGGGATGGGACAATTTATTGGTCATATTTTCTTTTATTTTGTGTTTAAAATAATAATTTTATAATGTTTTAATTTTTTTTTAAAGGAATATAACGTTTTAATTTAGAGTAAATTTCACTTTTGGTCCCTAAAATTTAGTGATGTTTTTGAAAGTGGAATCTAAGATTTTGCTTTGAAAATGAGACCTTATTACTAACTCCGTTAAAAATGTCCATCTAAAGTCAGAGGTAAAGTTGTCCAACCATGTTTTCACTCTCTTTTCACAAATTTTATTGCTTTTTCTTATTTTTATAAAACCCATTGAGCTGTTGGGACCAACTTGGTAAAATTTACATTCGTTTCCAGTCATCTTGTCCGACCAAATTGTCGTTCATTTCTCCAGCCAATTTGTCGGTAATCTTCTCTGGTTAAAAACCCTTTGGCCAAACCCTAATCCAAACACCAACATCAATTAAACCCAAACGCAAATCCAAATCTAAACACCAAAATCAAAATTAAAATCAAACCTAAATTCAAACCTAAACCTTATAATCAAAATCAACAGCCAACCCTTGATCTAAACTTAATTGATGAAAACGTGGGAAGCAAGGGAGGGCGGTCTCATCAAACGATACAATGTCGTTTCATATTTGTAGAGATTCCAATAATTTAGACATTCCAATAATATTTTCTTTATTTTCCATAAAATGGACCAAGGATTACGACGTGTTTGGTTAGTATTGGTCCTTAGAAACATTCTGTTATTTGCTTCCTTTCTGTTTGGATATTTAAGGCCCTACTCAGCTGATGATTGGTATCTTTTGAACAATCAATGAATGAATAGCAAAGCACCAGAGCTTGTTCTCTGTGTGATTCATATAGCTAAATTGAAGTGTTAGCTATCACCAAAAATCGCTGGAAAAATTGCGGGAGAGGGGAGGGGGTCTTGCCAAAAAAACATTGGAAATGAGGGTGGTAGGGACACGGTGATGGAGCCGGGTCACCTACTCTCCGGCGATCACTATTGTTTCTGGCGATTTCTTCCGTCCAGATCAATAAGCACTCAAAATCAACAGAGTTTGATTTACGAGGGAGGTTAAATTTTATTGTTTTGTGTAGGAAATCTCTTCTGATTTTGAATCAACAAAAATGGGTTTTTGATTAGGTTAAAAATGGGTTTTTGTAGAAAATCTCTTCTGATTACGAAGTTGTAATTGTATAATTGTTAAATTGAAATGTGTTAAGCTTAAACTGCACCAAACCCCGCATTTTACAGTGCAAATTTTTTATGGTTTGAGATATGTTCAGTGCAGTTTATAGTTTGGGATAATATACAAACCGAATATGCGGTATGTTTTGCTTTTTGATCCTAAACCGTACCTAACTGCACCGTGAACACCCCTAGGTGGTGGAGGAATTGATATCTATTGTAGGTAAGGGTGCTCAAAAACCCGATCAACCCGACTAACCCAACCCAACCCAACACGAAATAACTCAACCCAAAGCAACCCGATGTCTAATCGAGTTGTAAAATTATCAAACGATAGGTATTGGGGAGTTACTATTATTTGAACCCAACCCAACCCGATGAACCCGATATCCTTTTATTTCTTGAATTTAATATGATTGTTGAATTTCTATTAATGTGTACATTAGACAATTACACTATTATGTATGCTTGTCATATACACATATTTTCAAAATATTCACATCTTTATATAATTCATTCGTATATATGTTCAGTAACTATGAACATATATATGTAATTGAAAAAGTTAACTGAATGTGATATACGTAACAAATATGGATAAATTGTATCAAATGATTGATGATGAAAAATAAACTATGAGTTATAAAATAACATATTCTAGATTTGAAGAATATTTTAACGTACTAAAGTATCAACCCGACCAACCCGTACGGGTTGGGTTGGGTTGCACTTTGGTTCGGGTTGGGGTGAGTTAAGATTTTTTAAACTGCAAGCATTGGGTTGGGTTGTTCAAATGTCTTCAACTCGATCAACCCAACCCATGAGCACCCCTAGTTGTAGGCGGTGGTGGTGTTGTGAGGAATTGACAGAGTTGGTCCCATAGTTTGATAGTTTTACAAAAATAAGAACAAATAAAAAAAAGTTACAAAAATAGAACGAAAACTTGGTTGGACAAATTTACCCCTGGCTCTAACGGACATTTCTAATGCGGTTAGTGGCCATGTCCCATTTTCAAACCAAAATCCGAACCTGAAGGACGACATCTTCACTTATTAAAATATAGGTTCTATTTTCAAAGATATCACTAAACCTCGAGGACCAAAAGTGAAGCAATCTAAAACATCAACTTTTGTTATATTCTGCCTTTACAAATTCAATGGGTAGAGTTAGAATAATTAACCAAAAACGTTTTAATTGTTTAAATGTCCACTAAAAAATGTAATCAAGTATTAAAAGAGTTTATCTAAAAAAAATTGTGAGCCAACCAAACTCGACTCGACCTAAAATAAAAGTTAGTGGTGTTTGATTCATATAATAACGTCTGCTAGAATTGGAATATGTTAAAAGAATTGGAATCTGAAAAAATTGAAAGGAGATTTAATCACGTTTGACCATGTATGTATGTGGTTGGCAGGAATTGGAGTTGGAATTATATCCATCAAAAGAATTTGAATCTATTTCAGGGACGGACCCATAAATTTTTTCTAACGGTGACACCATTTGGCTATAAGAAACAAATATAAGAGAAAAATTTAATGGCGACACCATTTGACTATAAGAAACACATGTAGGGAAAACATTTCAAATTGTGATACCTTGACTAAGAAAATGACACTAATAGGATCCGAACTCGGGTCTGGGGTGGAATAAAAGCCTTGCAAACCAACTATACCAAATTTATCTAAGTTGACATCTTTATCAACTAATTCTAGATGCACTAAAACTATCGAGCATTCACATGACATGTTGATATGCGTTGTACCACTTATCTTTAAAAATAGAAACATTAAAATAATCTTCATATAATACAAGTATTCACTAGTAGTCTAATACAAGCAACAATTGAGGAGTGTCGATGGACCGTGGGGGTGTAGACGAGTTATTAAGGTTGTTAAAATTAGGCGAATAAATTCAGTCAAATTCTATATATTCATCCGTATTGTAATTTAGCAAAATTTAAAACATGATAATTTAAAATTTAAAATCAAAATATGTTGTATTATTAATTAAAACTTTAATTAATAAATAAATCGGTACGGTATGGTTTTATCATGATACATGACTTCTAATACCATGTACTAACCAAGTTTAGATAGTTGACACGGTACTACCAACCAATTAGATTGGTACAGTTGGTATGAGAATTGGTTGGTTTGTCTTGGTACAAATTGACATCCCTGATGACCTCAATGGATTTTTTCCAATTATAACCTTAAGTTCTTCTAATTATTATTTTTTAAAATTTCATTTTAGGTTTTATGCTATCATTCAGCTTCTCATCTAACTTTTATTAAACGTGACTACTTTATCAGTTAATAGTTAGCTTATTAGCCAACAACTAGTTTGTCAACCAAAATCTGGTTTGCCAAACATAATCTTAACGCGTTTTAATCCGTTATCTGGTCTATCTACTTTGCCAAACATAATCTTACACGTTTTAATATGTTATCCGACCTACTTGCTTCCCTACTTTGCCACCTATATCAACAACATTTGGTTGGGACCATTTTAGTTCGTGCAACTATCTTTATGACCCAAATCATGCCTCCCCAGTCCCCACCGTGTCTTAATGAGTATTCTGTACAAGTTGGTCTTAATTCTCAACACACGGTTCTTGGTCAACGGCTATTATCATTGACTTCATATTTGTTGATATATACTATCAGGCTCTAACAATCAATTATTAGACCCATCGGTGCTCCACTGTCTGTCACTGGTCACCACCGTTCAGTTTCATTGGATCTTAATT